CCAAGTAGAGTTAAATGGGCAGTTGATCTGGTCGTGACGGGCAGCTGAACAAATCAACTCAATATGGAAGATAATAAACGCACATTGGTCCTCTCGATGGGAAATTGAGTATTAAAAAAATAACAAGATAGAACAGTTGACCGACAGAAAGTATTAAAAAACTGTAATTGTAACCAGGCTATTGATCAAGTAATTGAGATTAATCGCAATTAATTACAGAATTTTTAAATAAATAAACAGTTAATAATTTTAATCTATTGACAGCACTAATATATATATAAAATGAGCTGGAAATTTTAATACAGCAGCTTTTAATTTTAAGAATGGAAGAAACCAAGATACCGGTCATCCTGCTTCTCTCAGGTCAGTAATATCAATACCTCACACAATTATAAACAGAATAGTATCATTTGGGTTACATGTCCTAAACTCTCATTTAAAGTTATGAATAATAAATAGTCAAAATAAGAAAACTGACAATCAATGTAGATATACTGTTATACTTAGGGTTCACATAAGGTAGCCCAACATAGGAACAAGTACAAGTCATTGTTAGTGGTTCTGTAGTGTAGTGGTTTTCATGGTTCTCTAACAAGCAAATGATCCCCAGATTCTAGAAGGAGACACAAATCTCTTGGGAGTTCTGTCAGGAAGGGCATCTGGGGAAATGTGCCATTTTCCCAAATCAGACATGTGGGGCTACCTGCTGTGGTGGCCCCTAGAGAATAAGGGTGCAGCCAAAAGTTGGTTATTAAAAACAAATGTAAATCTATGAGTACGGTCCATTAGTGTAGCTCTCTGTTTGTACCTGCTTTGTTATCTTTTTTTTTTTAAAAACCTTATTCAAGAATGATAAACCACATAAAAACATATACAAATAATTAAATTTATATTGAGAGATAGATAGCTGATAGATTGATGGCAGTTTATTTATATTTTTACAACCTTTCCAAGTGTTATTTCACAGTATCCTAATTAAAAATCTTTTATCTTGTATCAGCAGGACTTTCCACTCCTTCTCTCTATTTCAGAGAAAATCACTTTGTGAACCAGAGAATGAGCTGGACTGAAGTTCAGAGTCACTGCAGAGAAAGATTCACGGGCATGGTCACTATCTACAACAGTGACATCAACCAATTGCTTCTGACCATTGTACAAAACAGAAATGACATCACTGATGGTTACTGGGCATGGATCAGGCTTTATAATAATGTTTACAGCTGGAAGTGGTCCATGAAGGATACGAATATTGATGTTGGCACCACACATGAGTTTTTGATCTGGCTTAAAAACCAACCAAACAACTTGTACACTGACCAATACTGTGTGGTGGTTCAGGGCCAACAGAGCTGAATGATTTACCCTGTGGAAATCGTTACCCTTTCCTGTGATGGTATGAAAAAATTTATTGTTCTACTTCTCCCTGCAATTTTAAGAGATTCTAACTTTTATAATCCATCTGTTGTGACACTCACTTCTCTCTTAAACCTCTCAAAGCTAACACCATATGTTATGTTCTGGTGAAGCGGGAACAAACCTAGTCAGAGGCTCAATCGTACTGTAGAAAACACCACACTGACCTGGCCAGTATAGAAAACAAAGAGGAGAAATCCACGTTTGCACTGGCTTGGAAGGGAACAGGTCTTATGTATTCTTGGATCGACCTCTACAGGGATCCCTGGGTCTCACAGCAGCACCTCCACTTTCTCTAACTGGACTCCTTCTCAGCTTTATAATGACTTGTCGAACGAGTACTGTGCAGCATTTAACTTAAACTCGGGGCAGTGGGACAATGGAAACTGTAGCAAAATGAAACCTTTCTTCTGTTTCTCTCTTTTTGTTTTTTAGTGTAAATCACCAAATATTATTAAATAAATGTTTATTTATTACTTCTTTCTTTTTCATCTATTTAGGTAAATAGCAAATTAAGAATAGGGAGGAGGTCAGGGTGAATTAATGGGCTTCGGCAGGAGTTTGATGCATTTTTCAGTGACTGTCAGAGAGTTACCAGTGTGCCATTAAGATAATGACGTTACTTACATTTCTAATATTATAATTACAAAGCCAGGGTTTTCTGTTTTAGCCTGATTATTCCTCAACCCTTATCCTACCAACATATGGGATTTGTGTTGATCCCCAAGAATACATTAATAAATACAATAATAAAAACATTAATATTACAATACAATAAACCATCATTATCATTATTATTATGCAATTAAGATCATCTAAAGAAAAAAAAAACAATTTGTGAAGTTAAAATTAATTTGCATAATATTAAAAAAAAATCCACATTTTTACTTAATAGCTTCTTTATCATCCTTTGACTTTGGCATCACTTCCAGTAGCTTTCAATAATTTCAATAAACAGTCGTTGTGTTGTATTTTTTATGATGACCCAGTCAGGGATATTTTACAAAATTAATGAAATTAACAGACAACCAGCCTTGATGTGACCCGGGTTCTCTTCCCACTCGGACATGAGTGAAACAACACTTTTGAGGCACCCAGGAGACACTCTGGTCAAATTTCTTGACCAGCTCAACTGGGTCATTTTGATATGGAGGAGGAGCAGAACTTCAGAGGAAGTTCACTTTTGGGGGTTGTATCTATGATCTCATTCTTTCAGTCACTACCCAGAGTTAGTGAGGAGGGCAGAAACATAGAATCACCTATAAATTAAAGCTTCAGGGGTTAGCTCTCCCTTCACAACAACAGACAGGATTGTAGATGCTGCAGAGATCCAGAGATGAGATTCTACGACCACTGAATCCTCCACTGACCCTTGGTAGGGCCTAGAAATTTGGTCTATAAATATTATGAAGTATGTTGTGGCAAGTTCAGGAATCTTAAGTTGAGGAATCTTAATAACAAGGAATCCACACAGAGATTGAGCCTGTTATTCCACCCCAGAATATTGACAGGAAAAGTCAAAAGAGTTACGCACATCAAAGCAAATACACAGTTTAATTGTCTTAACTGGCAACACGTTTCCGTGGCATAATGGGAGATAACTAGCCACTCCCAACATACCACAATATATTGGTAACGAAGGACTTAATGCTCGCAAGGCAAGTAAGTCTCAAGCTCTCACTATGTACAGGGATCAGAAGGGACTACATCGAGCTAAAGCTGAACACACACTACAAATAGTACAAATAATACAAACCCACGGTTTGCTTTGTACTATGCTCAGGGCCTGCTGGCTGTGATAAGAGGAGCAAACTGGTTTCTTTTTCAAAGGTAAATTGTTTTTCAAGTAGATCTTCAAACTATGCGCTAGACAATCACATCAACAGGTGTTTTCCTAACTCCCAGGAAGCTCAGATTGGGGCTTGTAATGTGGCATTAGCGGTTCTGCTTTTCATGTGTGGCATGATTTATATCTCAGACGTTCTGATAACTTCCAGTCTGAAATGAGTGCCCCTACCCCCCTTGTGATGCTTTAATTCAGAACCCAAGCCAAACATTAAGTGAATAAATTATTTGATTTATTAAAACATCATGGGTGCTTTAGACCTCAAAACACTTTGTGACATCATTCAGAATCCATCCATCCATCCATCCATCCATCCATCCATCCATCCATCCATCCAGCCTAAGCAGAGAAGCCCTCTCCCCAGCCACCTTCTCCAGCTTGTCCGGGGAAACATCAAGGCGCTCCCAGGCCAGCTGAGAGATATAACCTCTCCAGCGTGTCCTGGGTCTGCCCGGGGCCTCCTCCTGGTGGGGCGTGCCCGGAACACCTCACCCAGGAGGTGCCCAGGAGGCACCCTTGTCAAATGCCCAAACCTTTTGGGCATCTGGCCCTTTTCAATGTTCCTTTCACTTTTACACTCAGCTCTCTCTTCACCGCAACGGACCGGTACACTATCCGCATCACTGCAGCTGCAGCACCAATCCATCTGTTGATCTCACGCTCCCGTCACTCGTGAACAAGACCCCGAGATACTGAAACTCTTGGGGCAAGAACTTGTCCCCGACCTGGAGTGGGCACTCCACCCTTTTCAGGCTGAGGACCATGGCCTCAGATTTAGAGGTGCTGATTCTCATTCCCACCACTTCACACTCGGCCGCGAACCGTTCCAAAGCGAGCTGGAGGCCGTCACCCGATGAAGCCAACAGAACCACATCATCCGTGAAAATCATCAGAATAAACTGATTTGAAATCATTAAAAGAAACTAAAACCAAAGAACAAACACATGTGACATTCAAGAAAAAGTAGACCTCTGAGGGCAGCTGAGAATTTATGTGGTGTTTCTATATTTTCATTTGTCACTATGTTTGAGATTAGATTCTTCTTTGGCTTTTATGGAGATACAAAGGATACATATCCCGAAAAACTATTTGACCATTTATTTCTTTATATCAAAGACTAGAATGTTACAAGAGTTTTTCCCTCTCCCCACTTTTACCCTTAATCTGATTTAACCATTACAGCTTGAATATTCCCCCTATCAGTCGAGTCTACGATAATTTAGTATGCAGATGAGATTTTATAACCAATGCCATCTCATCACTTACTCTATTTTAAATATCATAAGCTGTTTTTTTCTTGTTTTTTTTTCTTTTTTAGGGGAGAAAACAATCTGGTCAAAAACTGGTCAGCGACCTGTTTTTCCCGTTTTATTTTGCTAAGCTTTAGTCACTTCCTGCCCCGAGACACATCATACACATTCATACATATGTATACACGGACTGTAAACACATATACAGTTTATAGATAAATCCACTCATTGTCAGGGTCTGGAGACTCGACTGGAAAATTCCATCAGGCACTTGAGTTCCTTGGTCTCCACCCCTGGGCGGAGCCATCATCCCTGCTGCAGTCCTGCACACCTGAAACTGATTCAGGCAATCAGGTTGAGGATTTAAGGCCCCCTCAGACTCTCCTTCACCGCCAGTTCGTCAACGACCGCACGTTCCCTGGACCTTCTTTGCTATCGCCCTCAGCGCCCCGTGGATCATCTTCATATTCAGGAAAAATACAAGGACCCTCGCCTGCCCTCCAGCCTCACTCACCACCTTGGACACAGCGGAACTCAGGTCTGCCAGCCTCTCCACTACTCCCCTGGACTATCGCTGCCTCTCACTCAAAGCGAGGTTCACGCCGGTCACCAGTAAGCACTATCAGTCAGTTCCACCTCTGCTTGGATACCCTGCACCTGCCGCCTTCTTAACCCTGTTCTCTTTTCTTCCCAGACGCAACCGCTCCGTTCCCGTCGCAACCTGCTAGACCCCCGTTCACCCCCACTGTCACACGGTTACATCATTAGCGACACCCTGCCACATATTCACTTGTTGACTAAATAATAAACACTGCAAAACCTTGAGCCGTCTCTGTTGTGGTTATCTGCAATCGAGTCCGATCTAGCTATCGGCCACTCACGCATACACTTTTCTGATTTTAGCATTACATGAAAGTCTCTTATCCTTAAAATGCAAAAAACAAAAACAAAAAAAACCTAAAAAGCTTAACATTTTAACTATAAATTCTTTCCCTCCCCATCTATTTTTTCCCCTTCACCATGCCTCACAGTCACTGTACATGATTTTGTCAAAATTGATGGCACAAGTGTGTTTTACATAAATTGCAATTTTTGCACTTGGTTTTACATGTATTTAAACATTACATTGGTGAATAATAATAATAATAATAATAATAATAATAATAATAACAAAAGAACTGGATTAAAACCTAATAGACTAAACAGTGTATTAATTAATCTCTTAATTGTGCCATTAGCATGATATTGTTTGTATTTACATTTTGATATTTTAACTTACTTCAACTTGATTTGCTGCTTTACTATATTTATACCACTGGACATTATTCGTAACTGATGTTTAGACTATCAAATTGCTCAAATCCATTCATTACTTCCTTTTTCTCTATAAAATTCCACCATTTAAATCCATTGCAATTGCCCTCTTTAAGTGTTTTTAGTCACTTCAATCAATCAACTGGAAAAGGCAGTGACTGAAATTCGGCGTCACTCACCAGCTGTAAAGCAGTGAGACTTCTTAGGTAATTTATACATCATTCGACTTTCAAAATGGTTTTAAAATGTTTGAAGTGGCAGATTTTAATGTTGAGCCATGATAGATTTAAAACATCCTAAAGCAACAAGTGTTATTTTGTACATTTGCACTGAAACATACACTAAACTGGACAAATTTATTCTTATACTGAGGATATTCAATTCAATTCAATTCAATTCAATTTTATTTATATAGCGCCAAATCACAACAAATATCGCCTCAAGGCTGCCTGACAAGGATGGTGGCAAGATCTTGATCATGTGGGTGATACTATATACAGTAAAATAATAATCTTGATGGCTGTAGCCATTATAGAGAATTAAGCCAAGAATGGAAGAAACCAAATTTTACTGGCCATCCTGCTGATCTCAGGGCAGCAATATTAATTTCTCAGACATGAGAACTGTACAGTATATCTGGAAAGTATTCACAGTGCTTCACTTGTTCCACATCTTTTTCATGCTACAGCCTTATTCCAAAATTAATGAAACTAATTTTTCACCTCACAATTACACAATATTGCCCATAATGACAAAGTGAAAAGAAGTTTGCTTGAAATTCTTGCAAATTTATAAAAAATGAAAAACAAAAATGTAAGATGTACAAAAGTATTCACAGCTTTTGTTCAATACTTTGTTGAAGCACCAATTACAGCCTTAAATGTTTTATAGCAACATGCTACAAGCTTGGCACACCTATTTTTGGACAGTATCTCCCATTCTTCTTTGAAGAACCTCTCAAGCACCATCAGGTTGGATGGGGAGTGTCGGTGCATAGCCATTTTCAGAATTCTTCGGAGATGTTCAATCAGGTTCAAGTCTGGGCTCTGGCCACTCAAGGACATTCACATAGTGCTCCCAAAGCCACTATTTTGATATTTTGGCTTGTGTACTTAAGGTCATTATCCTGTTGGAAGATAAACCTTCACCCCAGTCTCAGGTCCAGAGCACTCTAGAGCAGGTTAACATTAAGTATGTCTCTATGCAATCCTGTATTTATTTTTCCATCGATCCTGACTAGTCTCACAGTTCCTGCTGCTGAAAAACATCCCCACAGCATGATGCTACCATCACCATGGTTCAGTGTAGGGATGATATTTGCCAGGTGATGATCAGTGTCTGGTTTCCTCCTTGGTATTCAGGGCAAAGAGGTCCATCTTTTCAATCTACCTGCATTTTCAAGTGTCCAAAAAATATGTATGACGTCTGTATCTGGAATATATTCATTGTACATGTTTGTAGTTATAAATGACGTTATTATTGGAAATGTTAGCCTCATACTGTATATTTATCTTTTCCAGCTATTGTTCTGCTCACTTTGTACATAATCTCCCGTCTTATTTTTCTCCACAGGATATTTTCACTCCTCCTTACTTCAAGAAATACCACATCATGAAACAGTGAATGAGGTAGACTGAAGGTCAGAGTCACTACAGAGAAAAGTTTACTGGCAAGGTCACCATCTACAAAAGTAAGAAAGTGTAAAGATACTGTACGTGGGAGTAAGGACGTTTGACATTTAATTTAGTGGCTTGTATTAGGTTTTAATTATGCTTTACAAGCATTTCTGTTAAAGCATTTAACAAAATGAGAGCAAAATGCCAAATTGCAATGTCTCTAGACCTTTGTTAGACTGTGAATTGCATCATGGTTTTCTAAACATTTCAAGACCTTTATGCACGTCTTATATAAGTGATCTTCTGAAGATTTTGCCAAAGGGAATTACTGACAGTTCATAGCATTCTGAAAGTAAACAGGGGATTATGAGGGCATGTGGGAAAAGGGTGAGCAAACAAACATGTAAGAAGCAGACCACCCTCAAAGAAAAGAGAAAACAGACCTACACCCACACTTGAGGGGAAAGAAGGTGTGTTAGAAATCAAAATATATTCACAAAATCATAATAAGTAACAAGTAAATAAGAAAAGGATTTAGATATTTATATTCTTAAAAGTATTTCTATTGTTCTTTTCATTTATTTTTTATTTTTTTTTCGTTAATGTCAGAAAAGTGAGCAGTGTGGACCTTTATTATTATTATTATTATTATTATTATTATTATTATTATTATTATTATTGTATTGGATGTATGTTTGCTGCACTGTGCTCTTGTGTTCCATGCTGTTGTGTGTACGTGTGTGTGTGTGTGTGTGTGTGTGTCTGGTGTGGCTGGACAGCCACCTGCAGGCCTGATGGGTGTGACACTCCATGTCAGTGTCTCAAGTGCTGTTAAGTGTATGCCTGCTGGAGTTGGTGCCGTAACGGCTGCGTCTGTGGTTTTTTCCTCAGGAGGAGAGCGGAACACAGGACAGCTGGACGCACGGGGTGTGCGTAGGGACGGGAGCAGAGAGCACGGAATACCAGCACTTTGGAGAAGGCACAACACAGGAGTTAAGGGAGCACACCGGAGATTTATTGTGTGGTGTACTTTTCCTCACTGTAAATAAAGGCACTGTTCATTGCACTAAGTCCTGCATTTTGGGTCTTTTCTCCAACATCCCCACGGCTTGCCCTGGCAGACCATGACAAGTTTTTCAAATAAATCTAATAGATGGCTTACAGATTACATTTTCCTTGTTATATTGTTTTTCTTCCTCTCAGTACACGACATCATTTGCACTCTTCACAATTAGGTCCCCCAAAAAATGTAAATTGCACAAAGTTCAAGTTTTGCATTGGACTTTAAGACTGTATATATTTTGAATGTCCTATGGTTAAAGAATAATAAAACAACAAATTATATCCAAAGTGTTGTTAGTTTTTTGTTAATTTTTTGGACAATTATTATGCTGCTACTTTAATTTAAGTGTTTAAAGAGCTGTGAAAAAGTATTTGACCCCTTCTTATTGTATTTTTCTTCTTTTTTTATAACTCAAGTAAAACAGATTAGTTTAAAATTTTGATTTATTAAGAGAAAAAGTTATCCAAATCTTCTTGGCCCTATGTGAAAAAGTAAGTCTCTAAACCTAATAACTGGTTGTGCCACGCTTGGCAGCAAGAACTGCAATCAAGCATTTGCAATAATCAGAAATTAGTCTTTGGCATTACTGAGGAAACTTGGCCAACTTGTCTTCTCAGAGTTTTTTTGTTTAGACACATTTGAGGATCTTCCAGAATGACCTATTTAATCTCATGGCAAAGCATCTCAGTCAGGTTTAAGGTCAGACTTTAACTGAACATTTTCATTTAGGTTTTTTTGACCCACTGAGGTGAGCATGCTGGTGTGTTCATAGATCACTGTCCTGCTGCATAACTCAGGTGTGCTTGTGAGTCAGGGCACAAACTGATGGTCCAAAAGACTCCTTCAGGTTTTTCTGGCAGAGAAGAATTCATGGTTTCATCAGATGCAGCAAGTTGCTTTTTGAGATGTTTTTTTTGTTTTTGATTTTTTTTTAGATATTTTACCCTACTTCACTTTGTCAGACAGGCTCTGTTTAAGCAATTTCATGATTCACCACTTCTTGGGGTGGCAATAAGAAGAAGAAGATCCAGTCTGCCTGCCAAATATCCATGGGCAAGATACTAACCCCAAGCTACTGTCTGATGCATACATCACACTGTTAACATTAAATATGTAGGAAAAAAGTGCTTGGGTGAATGAAACAAGTTGTAAAAAAATTGCTTTGAGTGCTGAGATAGAGTAGAAAAGCAGTATAAGAAGCAGTTCATTTACTAGCCTTGCAGCACCTGGGTGTTGCTAGCAAAACTGAACTTATCTTTCCAAAACATGTGGAGTACAATCACAGTTAATATTAAATAATCAATGGCGGCAATTGCTTTTTCATATGGGGCCGTGTAGCTTTGGATATTTATTTTCCTCTTAATAATATTTAATAATTGTATCCTTCACTGTGGTCTGTGGAGGATAAGATTAATAAGGTTTAAAGCCCAAAGCAACAATCAGTACAGATAGCAACATTGTGTGGTGGTCCAAGATCATTCAGTGAATGGACATTACAAAGATTGTTTCTTTTTCTTGTATTATGATGATGTGAATTAACTTCTGTCTCTAGTTATCCCAGCAATGTAAAGATATGAGTTTCTGATGCAACTATTTTAAGACTTTTCTTAAAGTGCTTTATACACATTTTAGTAAGGGAGCAACATTACTCCAGGATAATCCACACAGACCTGACCAGTATAAGCAAAGAGGGGAGATTCAGCAAGCATACAGACTTGGAAAGGACTGGGTTCAATTCAATTCAATTCAATTCAATTTTATTTATATAGCGCCAAATCACAACAAATGTCGCCTCAAGGCGCTTCATAGATACAGAGAAAAGCCCAACAATC